GAGAAGGCCGCGAGCGGTGCGCGTTTCTCAGAGAATGAGCCCATGCACTCACAGCGGAATCCTCGATGGCTTTCCCATCCAGGGCCCTGCCGCCTCTGAGCGCACCCCAAGCCCTCTCTGCTGCTCACAGGCCTCCTCTCTCCTTTGTGCTTTTCTTTTCTTTTTTCTTTTTTTTTTTTTTTTGAAATGGAGTCTCATTCTGTCGCCCAGGCTGGAGTGCAGTGGCACGATCTCGGCTCATTGCAACCTCTGCCTCCCAGGTTCAAGTGATTCTCCTGCCTCAGCCTCCTGAGTAGCTGGGACTACACAGGCGCCTGCCACCACGCGCAGCTAATTTTGTATTTTTAGGAGAGATGGGGTTTCACCATGTTGGCCGGGCTGGTCTCGGACTCCTGACTTCAGGCGGTCCGCCTGCCTTGGCCTCCCAAAGGGCTGGGATTACACGCCTGAGCCACCACACCCGGCCTCCTTTGTGCTTTTCTCCTCTGTTTCTACTGCCTAGAAGATGCTCCCTCACTCACATTTTGCATGGCTGCTGCCTTCTCCTCATGGAGGTCTTAGGTCAACCATCATCACCCCGGGCAGGCCTTCCGTGACTGCCCTATCTGAAGTCACTGGCCTCCCTGCCAGTCACTGCCAGGTCCCTTCCTTTTGTTGTCGTCTAGCACCTGTCCCTGCCTGAATTGTATCATTTATCTGTTATTATTTGTTTATTCTGTTCCTGCCTATCTCCCTGAGGCCAGGGACCTTGTCTGTCTTTATTATTATGCTGACCCTGATGCTCAGCACTTAATAAAGAATCGTCAAATAAATTGAATGAAGGACACTAAAGGTGGGTGAGATTGAGGCAGGGCCCGGATCTGTGTAAATCTCTTTGTCGATGGGGCCTTGTACACTCAAGGGTTCTTTCTCCACCCTGCTCAGAAAACTCAAACTCAATATTCACAGGAGACCGGGATCTCCTTGGTTAAGGGTTAGGACTTCCTCATCAGCCTCTGAGATGCAGGAGCTGTGGCTGCCTGCTCTGTTCTGGGTAGGGTGTTGCTCTTGCTTCTAGGGTGTTGATGCCCCCACCTTGTCTATTTCTGCATCTTTGCAGGCTGTCACAGAAGTTACTCACACACCGCCACCCACCGCTGGGGAGTGGGGTGGTGGTGACGGCAAGAAACAAACAAACACTTTCCCCTTCCCACTTCTCTTCCGGTGTTCCAGGCGGGAGGTAAGCGGACAGTTCCAGGACTTCATGGAAAGGAAGAGGCGGTAAGTTTGATGCTGTACCCACTTGCCCCCCAAACTGTAATGCTCTAGAATGGACAGGAGCAGCGGAGAGGCAGGGGCATGCTAAGCCTCTAGGAGTTCATATCCCCGTTAGAAAAAAAAAACTGGAACAAGAAGACCGAGAGAGAGTCTCCATCAAGAGCTCAAACCTGGCCTGGAACACACTGGGACTTGTGATTCTGTTTACCAACAAACAGGAAGGAGCCTATTGTACTCAGGGTTAGAGAAGCGGAAAGAAATCCCGTGAACAGGAGCACAGGAGCCAAGAAATTGGGCTCAGAGACAATAGATAGGAAGGGAGGGGTGTGGGAAGGGAGATGGAGACTGGTGAGGCGTGGAGGAGAAATCCAGGCGTGTAGGGGCCCCACTCAGGAGCGTCAGGAGAGGGAGGGGCAGGAAGGGAGCCAATTACATGTCAGATTTCTGCAGCAGGTCTGCCTCCCGCTGTGCTGTGGAGCTGGCCTGGCACAAGGTTTATTGGGTATGTTTTATGAGCAAGGAAGTGTGAGGTGAGATGGGATTCAGCAGGTGTGTCGGACATGCAGCTCCAAGGCCAGAGGCCAGCAGGTTTTGCAGTCAGGTCAAATTTGAATATCTAGTCTGCCTCTTACTCCTCACTGTGCGACCTTGGACCAAAACTTAACCTCTCTGCCTTTTTTATTTTATTTGAGACAGAGCCTCACTCTGTCTCCTAGGCCGGCGTGCGATGGTGTGATCTTGGCTCACTGCAAGCTCTGCCTTCCGGGTTCAAGCGGTTCTTCTGACTCAGCCTCCCAAGTAGCTGGGACTACAGGTGTGCACCACCACACGCAGCTAATTTTTGTATTTTTAGTGGAGATATCAGCAGATGATCAGGCTGATCTCGAACTCCTGACCTCAGGTGATCTGGCCACCGCAGCCTCCCTAAGTCTGCCTTCTATAAGGCAGTGCCCACCTCATTAGGCTATGGTGAGGACGAAACGCAGTGATGTGGGTAATGTGCAGGGCTACATGATGTCCTACAGATGGTGGCAGGTGCTTTCTGCAGCCCACACCTCTGGCCCTGGCGTAAACCAGAGAAGATATCCACCTGCACTAGGTAAAGCCCTGCCTGCCCACAGGTGCATGCACCGAAGGACCTCTGAGGACTCTGGTCCTTTGAAATACTGACTTTCTGACAGCTTCCTGTCTTTCTCTATTTCCTATCATCTCTGCAGGGATAATGCACTGATCTGCTGACTTTAAGAAGGACCCTGTTTTGAGACTGACTTCTTCAAAGGGGCAGCATCTACATTGGCAAGGTGAGCACAACCCAAGCACACAGCTGATGTGGAAGACTTGAGTCCCGAAAGATGACTTTGCCCCACTTCTCTGCAGGATGCTTTAGCTGGAAACATCTGGGTAACTGCTTAACCCCTTCCTATTTTGCAGAATAGTCCCAGCATGGGGGCTGTTTTCATCTTTCTGGGCTAGTATTTTTCAGAATTATTCAGAGCCTAGGACCTCATGCACTGTGGGAGGTCTCGCTCTTCTCCGCCCACCCCATTTCTCATGCCCCCACTCCCACCCCCAACACTCCCCCAAGGGCAGAGGTTCATCCTCCACTGCAGGTCCCCAAGGTTAAAACCTGCCATCTTGCCTGTCTCCCAGGATGTGGCTCCTTCAGGGATTTCTTAGATCTCCCAGAGAGGTGCTGCAGCTCTCACAGGTGCTGGGCTCGAGAGTCTGTCCTGAGAAACAGTGCGGGAGGAAGCACCTCTCCAGAGACTGCCCAGTGAATTTTTTGTGGGGCACTGATTATGGGCAATGTGTAATTCAAGGGTTGTTACCTTTGATTTCGGGATGGGTCAGGGAAGGGCGTGAAGAACTTGGATTATTCTCTCTTCTGCGTGGACCAGAGAAGAGTCAGGATGGCCTGCAGCTAAGCCAGCTTTTTTTTTTTTTTTTTTTTCAGATGGAGTCTTGTTCTATTGTCCAGGCTCGAGTGCAGTGGTGCGATCCTCAGCTCACTGCAACCTCTGTCTCCCAGGTTCAAGCGATTCTCCTTGCCTCAGCCTCCCGAGTAGCTGGGGCTACAGTCATGCACCACTACGCCCAGCTAATTTTTGTATTTTTAGTAGAGACGGGGTTTCACCATGTTGGCCTTGGCCTCCCAAAGTGCTTAGATTACAGGCAGGGGCCACCCCACTGGTCAGCGAAGCCAGCTTTATTTATTTTATTATTTTGGGGGACAAGAGTGAAAGTTTTTTTTAAACAAGAGTGAAACTGTTTTCTCACTCTTTTTTTTTAAGAAAGAAAAAAGAAAGAAAGGAAAGAAAGAATGAAAGAGAGAAAGAATGAGGAAGAGAAAGAGGGAGAGAGAAGCGAAGCCAGCTTTAAAGCCACCGTGTAGTGGATCTGGGCTCAGAAAGCTCAGCCTGTGAGACTGGACTGATTGTGTGTCTGTATTTACTGTGCTTCCTTCCTTTTCTCCTTTACGGTTTGATACCTCTTTATCAATGGTGGTTTGTGCTACTGAGAAGAGTAGGAGAGGGCTGGGTCTTTGTCCTTAGACCAGAAACGCAGGAAGACAGGGCTAGGCACCACACTCCTTGGGCTTGGATATGCTTTGAGCAACAGATTCAGAGTGAGGGAGCTTCAAGGGGCCAGGGCAGAGTGAGGCGCTGGTGTGATGTGCCGTAGGATACACAGGATATCAGGGGTGGGGCGGTCAGACTCAGGTCTGCGGACTCTCATTCCAGTGCTCGCTCCCTTGCATCACCGTCCCTTTACAGGTGCCCCAGCAAGAAACACTTCCACCCTCCGCTGCGTCTGAACTGCGTGTCAGACACAAGAGGAAAGAATTCTGGGGTCGGCTCACTGCCGCACATCTGTAATCCCAGCTACTCAGGAGGCTGAGGCAGGTGGATCCCTTGAGCCCAAGAGTTGAAAACCAGCCTAGGCAACTTAGTGAGACCCAGTCTAATAAAAAAAGAGAGAGTGGCTGGGCGTGGTGGCTCACGCCTTTAATCCCAGCGCTTTGGGAGGCCGAGGTGGGCGGATCACTTGAGGTCAGGAATTCAAGACCAGTCTGGGCAACATGGCGAAACCCTGTCTCAACCAACAATACAAAAATGAGGCAGAAGTAGTGGCGCATGCCTGCAGTCTTAGACTCGGGAGGCTAAGGCACGAGAATCACTTGAACCTGGGAGGCGGAGGCTGCAGCAAGCTGAGATAATGCCACTGCACTCCAGCCTCAGCGACAGAGCAAGACTCCATCTCAAAGAGAGAGAGAGAGAGAGAGAGAGAGAGAGAGAGAGAGAGAGAGAGAGAGAGAGAAAAGAATTCCTGAACTCAGGGCTGGGACTGGTAGTGCCAGGAAAAAGCAAAAAGCAATTTGCTCTGGTGCCTGGGCACAGAAGGAGAACAGAGAGAAGGGAGGCAGAGGCAGTGCAGAGGGAAGGAAGGGGCGAGCGGGTGCTCTCTGTGGGCTCGTTTGAAAGGAAATACACAAGCACATCCAGGCCCTGGGATTGGCCATGTCTGGAAGGGCCGGACGGGCTGAAGACAAGAAGGCCTCAGTATGGGGAATTCTATGACAGTGAGGCGGGAAGGAGGTAGTCCTTGGGTGTCTTTGTCACCCGTGGGGAGAAGGGAGATGAAGGAGCTGTGGGGAAAGCAGGCATCCTCCCTCCACGGAGACCTTTGTCCATGCTGCTGCCGTGCGAGATGGCGGCTGCTGGAGAATGTGATGCCGACTGGTCCAAGAGATGACCTTGAGAGAGAGGAGAGACAAAATTGAGCTGGTGTCTAGTGTGGGGGAGAGGGGAGGGGCAGGTGAAGGGGGAGGAGAAAGCCGAGAGGGAGCTAGCCGGAGGAGGGGGCGGGGCGGACCGGGCCACCTCCCCGTCTGGTCTGTCTGCCTCCCTCCCGGCCAGAAGCAAGGAGTACACAGACACGGGCGTGTGGGGGTGCAGCAGAGATGGGGGGGCCGTGTGTCCTTGAGCCCCAAGGTTTTCCTGAGCTGAGATCTTCATTACCTCCTGTGCGTCCTAAGGATACAGGCCTTGATCCTGCTGGGGGCCGGCCCTGGGCTCAAGCTCTGCAGGTGGCCCCCCTTTTTCTAGCCTGGGCGATGCCCTCCCGAGTCCTTGCTTTTCAAAGCATTTCAGGGGGACACGGTGGGAGTCGCCCGTCCTCTGCTGTAGGAGTTGGAGATGAGATGTGCCACTTCTCCCACAAGAATTCCCAGGAAGTGATGACTGTCACTGCAGCCACACCCCCGTGCCCATCTTTTTTTTTTTCTGTTACAGATTGTTTATGTCAAATCATTTTTCTCCGGGACAAAGCACTTAGCCTCTCATTTTCTGTCAGTAAAAGGCAGCATAATAATTCCTTCCCGACAGAGTTGTGGGGACTATCAGATCCCACAAGTAAAAGAGCTTACTGAGGTACAAACTCACAGCACAAACGTAAGAGATTACTATTCCCAGGGAAGAGGCAAAAGGGAACAGGAAGCAGGAAGGGAGTCCAGGCAAGGTCAGGGCAGGGAAACGATCCTGGCCCCTAAAACAGACTTAGCTCCAGCCCTTCCAGCAGCCCCTCCCACCGTCCCTTCTCCACCAGCCTCCTCTGGCCCTGGGTCTTGCTGGGTAGCCTTCAGAAAAACAGGATCCTGGAGCCCAGAATGGGACAGGCAGAGGGGGAGATGATTGCAAACTCATCCTTTTTCTCACAGAGAGGAGAGGCCCTGACCTCTTTCCCTCGACCTCTTCCCGATGATACTCACAGGACAGGTTAGGGCAGGACCCTCCTGAAGGCTGCAGGGTGCCTCAGAGGAGGGAGACAATCCCCTTCGCACAGGGCTGGGGAAGAGTCACCAGGGTGCCTCCCAGAGCAAGTGCCCTTGCCAAAGTCAAATACGGGTGCCGCTGGGCCACCAAGGACCTGGATGAGTGAGGTTAGGAAAGTCTGCTGTTGGAGGAGGTGAATTTGAAGCAAACCTGGCTGCCAGCTGGCGTGAGGCCCTCAAGCTGGCTGCCATGCCTGGCTGGACCCCACGGCCCCTCCTCTCCCTCCCTTCCTTTGTGTTCTCTCAGGGCTGGCTTTCGTCTGCCTTCTCCCCATCTTTCCCATGCTGCAGGCTAGGAGGGCTCTGGCTGCAAAGGTGCTCTCTGCCTTCCCTGCCAGCTGCCCAACCCTAACCCCTTTGGGTCCCTGAGAAACAGGAGGCCTAGCTGTTCACATCAAGAGCGAGAAGCGACAGCTGTGGGATTTCTCTCCCCCACCTCCTCCTCCCTCCCTCCCTGCCTGGGGCTGAGGGACAGATACTCTGTTTAGAATTTCTTCAGGGAGACAGCCAACAAGGGCATTCTTTCTCTTCCTTGGGCTTCCCTAGCCAAAAATGGGGGATTAGTCAAGAGACAGCTGCAGAGGCAGCAGCCCTTGGGGAACTCCTACGCGGAGTAGCAGCCATGGCCTCGGGAAAGAAACTGTCTGGAGCCGGCCTCCTTTAATTGGAACTTGAAGGTGATGTCTGCATTGGAGGGCGGCAGAGAGCAGGGCTTCAGGCTCTGGCTAGATGGACCTGGGACTGAATCCTAGCTCTGCCACTCTCTCGATGTTTGGGTTGGGACACTCCCATTTCAGAAGCTCGTTTCTTCATCTGCAGCATGGAGACGAGCATCCCTACTCTCTAGGCTCTCTAGGGTCATTGCTGGAATTAAATGAGTTGAGGCACAGAAAAGCTTCTGTGATAGGTCCGGCAAACTCCAGGAGTCCAGGGATTGTTAGAGCTCCTGTCACACAATGGGGCAGGAGCCAGACTACTTCCTGTACTCAGCAAAGAGTAACCAAGAGGCATGTGGCAGTGATGTGGCTTCCAGTTCCCGAAAGCCCCAGTTCTGGAAAACCTTACTTTTTTTAAATTGGATTTTTTAAAAAATTGAGTTCCTCAATCCAGGGTCTCTTGCAGTTGGGGAGCTTGAGGCTTTCAGCTGTCGCATGCCTGAGCCTTCTCATAATCCAATAAAGCAGAATATGGAATGGGATACTGGTTACGGAAGGGGATAGGATTGGTGGATGAAACAGAGAAAGAAACACACACACACACACACACACACACACTCCTACGCATACACACACTCTCACACACACACACACACTCTCTCTCACACACACTCACACACTCACTCATACTCATTCTCACACACTCACATACACACACATACACACACGTACACATATACATACACACACGTACACACACACTCCTACGCATACACACACACACATGCTCTCACACATACACTCACACACACATACACACTCACTCACACACACTCTCACACACTCATTCTCACACACACATACACACACACTCCTACGCATACACACACTCTCACACACACTCACACACACTTACACATACACACTCTCACACACACACTCACACACTCATACTCATTCTCACACACTCACATACACACACACATACATACACACACGTACACACACACGCACACACACATACATACACACACACACATTCTGCTATAACAAACAGAGATGGAAAGAGGAGGCACAGAAGAAGGGCCAGTGACAGCTCCTGCTGCTCTGAAAGGCAAGGGGCTCCTTGGCTCGACTACCTTCCTGTCCTCCCCTGGGTCCAGGTACGCCGGGATCCTAGATTCCCTAGAAGTGAGGATGGGCACCGCAAAGGCATGAAGGCACCTCCCACCACCTTCAAGACTTCCCACTGCCGGTCTGCAGCCTGTTGTCCAGTCCTGGTCCAACCCCGAGTCACCCGTGTGAGCTGGGGTCCATGATTGGTCTCTAGTTCTCCGTGTCTTCGTCTGAAGAATGTGAAGAGTAACTTCTGCCTTTGCTGCTCACGGGACTGTCGTGAGGCTCCAAGGGCACAGTGAGGTGCTAAACAGAGGTGGGGGAGGCAGGCACATGGATTCCTTTCCATGTGGCTCTCAAGAAATGCCTGTCCCTCCAGACTCGGGGACTGCCTGGGACCTTGAATAATTGCCTTGGCAACTCACCGCCTGGCTAACTGCCATTCCTTTGGGTTTCGGCTTAAACGTCAGCTCTGCAAGATCTTCTGGACCCCTAAGCTGGGTTCTCCTCTTATAAGCATTCACAGCATTCTGTACCTTCCCATTACAGCACTTTTATAAGTTGAATAGCGTGGTTATTGGTGTGATTATTTAACACTTGCCTTTTGCACTAAACTCTAAGCTCTGTGAGGAAAAGGACTGTGTTTCGTGGCGCACCATCATACCTACCATGTGGCAGTGGGTGCTCCATAAGGACCCTGCTACGTGAGTAAGGGAATTCCCTGCCTCATACTCTCTCATGCCTTAGCATGAGGCCTGAGGCCAAGCGCCCATCCATCACATCCCCCTTGCCCAAAGCCTCCTTATAAGGGGCAGGGGAAGGGTGGCATCTCCTTTCCCTTCTAACTCAAGGAGCCAATCATTGGCTACATGACAGCTGCCCTTCTTCCCATCCTCCCAGCATAGCAACCCCTGTCCCGGATCCAAAGGCAGAGGCAATTGCTATTTTTATTTCTCTTTGCACAAGGCTGCCCTCTGGTGGTGAAACATGCAGGAGCGAATGGGAAGGATGGACGCTCCAGTGGCCAGGAACCAGCCGGCTGAGCCTTGCTCAGAGACTGCCAGTGAGCCAGGGACTATGTAAGTGCTACAGGAGGTACATCTTTCAGTTCTCCATCCTTATGGATGGTTCCCTCCAAATCTAACAGGAGGCCCTGGCCTCAGAAGAGCTGGAAGTGAAGGAATGCCCCTTAGAAATCCTACCCACCTCAGCCCCAGTAGGATGGCATGTGGGTAGGGGGAGCTGGTTTAAGTAGCCATTCTTTCTTTCTCCTCAGTGGTAGGCAGGCAAATATTTTATAGTCAGCTCTCAGAAAAGGAAATTCCAGCTGGTAGCATTAACCAATTTCTGTAGTGTAAATACCCCGGCCGTGGCCAATTTGAAACCACCAATGTGATGTCACTGAAGGAGGATCTGGAAGAGCTGCCCCGTAGCACACCGTGGTCTAGCATCTCCCCCATACAGACACCATGGACAGAAATAACTTCAAGGGCATGGTTAATAGTAGAATATAGTAAGCTAATTGAAAAGTGATGGTTTGTGAATAATTATTACATTTGTTTTCAATATAATGTATTTAATTGTGAGTGTATATAATTTAATTTTTCATAATGGGGTATGTTTAACAAGTGACTTGCAAAATTCTGGAAAATTTAATAATCTGTTCCTGCAAGTACTAAGAGCAGGCTCCAGTACATCACCGCTTCTCCTCCTCTTCCCCCAATCTTCCTCCTCTCCCCTCCTCCTCTTCCTCTCCCACGGCTTTCTTGGCATTCTGTGTGGGTACGAGAGATGGGGAATATGGAAGGGAGCGCCACTGCAGACGGCTGTTCTCTGAGCCGGGAGCCATAGGTGTCAAGGAAAGAAGACAGAGAAATGCAAATTTGGTTACTGAAAGACATTTCCGTGCTCATTTCATTGAGTGTGTGTGCGCCCACACATACACATACGTGGGAGTGATTTTTGCAAGGGATCAAGGGGTTGACTGAGCCTGGGCTAAGATCAGTGTCTAAAGAAAAGGAATTCAGCTTCACGGCTGGAGGCCCATGCCTGCATGGTCTTGGAGGGCTCTTACCTGGGATGAGTGGAAGGGGTCTGAGCTAGGTGTAGCAGCCGATGGGGAGCCGAGGCAGGCAGAAATAGGCACTGGGGAAGAGGCTAAGGTTGATGGGGTTGCCATCCAGGCGGATGTCTTCCAGCTGCCTGCGGGTGTATTTGTGCTCCTCGGGGTCACAGAAGACGTCTCTCTGCATGGTATCTATCAGGTTATTCTGGAAAGAATACATACCAGCTGAGCCCCACCAGAGGGTCTGCCCCTTCCGCAGCACCGAAGGCTCACATCAGCTGTCCCCTCTAGCTCTGCCTGCCGGTGCAACTGAAGAAACGGAAGCTCCTAGGGCCAAAGCCACACAGCAGGGGTGAGAGGAGCCCCGGGAGATGCTGCGTGGGGAGACAGGGCCCAGATGAAGAGGGAGGAAGACAAGGGGAGAGAGGACGGAGGGAAGGACTGAAGGGAAGGAAAGAGACAGAGGGTAGGAAAAAGGGAGAAGGAAAAGAAACCGGGTAAGATAAAATAAAGTGGTGGAGAGAGAGGAAGCGCTTTAAAAAGAAAAAATGGAGAAAGTCTAACTGGGGCCATGCACAATTATATAGACAAGACCTCCCAATCCACGTCTCCAATAAAGCCTCAGATAAAGGAGACCCCAGCTGCCCAAGCCTCATGCCTCTCACTGCCATGCCCTGCTCCCTGGTACCTAACTCCCATCCGCCACGCTCCGTGTGTCACCCTTGCTCTGGGTGAGGCTCCTTACCTGCAGGTGTAGAGAGCGCAGGCTCAGGGGAAAAGGCCCCGGGATGGAATCCAGCAGGTTGTCTGAGAGGTAGAGGAACCGCAGTTTCTCCAGCGCCTGGGGAGAAAACAGAGTGTAGGAGGTTGATGGGTCCTGTTGGGTCCTGGCAGTGAGAGGGCGATGAGGCCAGAGACAGGTGGCCCCATTTGTTCATTCGGGACTCAGCCTCAGCCACGTGCCAGGCTCTGTGCTGGGTGCTACAGAGGGTGCCCAAGTCTTTAAGGAGCTTACAGACACTAACTCCAGCTGGACGCAGGAGGAAAGCTGCTGCCACTGAGGTGCCCGCCACTGAGCAGGAGAGCTGGTTAGCTGGTAATGCCACTGGGTGGGGCAGGGCAGGGGCAGGACTGGGTGGAGGGAGGACCAGGGGCCATTTCAGCTTTGTCTCAACTCCTCTGCTCTCAGAAGGGACTTGCCCCAATGACAAGTCTCCAAATGCTAAGCCTGGAGCAGGTACAGAGCAGACCCTCGGGGGACAGCCAGACCAGCAGAAGGAGAACCACAGGCAGAGAGGCACACCTATGAGCACGGGACCGAGCTCTCAGAATCAGTGTCCACCAGAGAAGGGGTTGGGAAAAGACGAGCCTTCAGCAGGGCTCAGGGAGCAAAGGAAAATGATAGCTACCATTTATGGAGTATCTACTCTACATATCCAACCCTCCCGTGCTCTTTGTAAATGCCATCTTATTTAACCCGCCAACGGCTATGTCAAGCAGGTATTATTACCCTCATTCTGCAGATGAGAAAACAAGATCAGAGAGTTTGGGTGACTCTCCCACAAACCCGGGTCTCTGTGGCTCCAAAGCCCAGGCCTTATCCTGGGCTGAGAAAACAGCTCTGAGTCAATGCAAAGCAGCGCCTCCTAATATGGAGAGAGCCGGGATGTTGCTGAGGCTGGGCAGCGGGGAAAGTCGGTGATCATGCAATTCCGTTCTTTACTTAGAGACTGAAAAACTGAGGCCCGAGGTCATGTGGCCGGCTTCTGATTCCCAGGCTAGTGCTCTTCCACCTCAACAGTGGTAGTGACACTGTGTTCTGGAAAACTCCCTCAAGGACCACCGCAGACAGAAGGCTGAGAGGGTAGAAGGCAGTGGGGAGGCAGGTGAGAGGGCAAGCCGGCGTGCCTCTGTTGCTTTTTGAAACCTCGTCCTGTTTCAAATAGGCAAGACTAATTTGGTTTATTTGATGCTTCTAAATATGAAAAAGATTCTACTACTTGAGAGAGAGAACGAGAAAGAGAGAGAGCATGTGAGCGAGCACACCAGGGGCTCTTCCTAGCGCTATTGAATGGGCCGCCCCAGGGGGCATATTTGCATCATATAACTTGGCCCTTTCCAACAAAACTGGCCAGCCAATGACCAAATAGTCTGTCTTGGATGGGCACAGTGGCTCATGCCTGCAATCCCAGCACTTTGGGAGACTGAGGTGGAAGATCACCTGAGGTCGGGAGTTCAAGACCAGCCCGGCCAACATGGTGAAACCCCGTCTCTACTAAAACTACAAAACCTAGCTGGGTGTGGTAGCACGTGCCTGTAATCCTAGCTACTTGAGAGGCTGAGGCAGGGGAATTGCTTGAACCTGGGAGGCAGGGGTGGCAGTGACCTGAGATTGTGCCACTGTGCTCCAGCCTGGAAGTCAGAGCAAGCTCTGTCTCAAAACAAAACCAAAAAAGGCTCTTTTGAGCATTTGATCATAGGAAGACAATGATTAATCAGTCCCTTAGTGGCAGGTTGTGGAAATAAAAGGATATGTAGAGTTAGGGCCAGAATCAGCACTATTCCAAGCCAAACTTATGAGTAAGTTTTCAGGGAGCAGAACCTGTGAGTGTAAGAAGACAGGTGAGTGGAGCAGGTGCACAGAAAGAAGTCAAGACACGAGGCCGTGTGCCCCGAAGAGGGCGAGAGATTTGTCCGCCTTGACTTCTGAACCCCTATGCCTAGTACAGGTTGAGCATCCCAAATTCAAATATCTGAAATACTACAAAATCCAGAACTTTTTGAACATCAGCAAGGTGTTCCAGTGAAATGCTTATTGGAGCATTTTGGATTCTGGATTTCAGGTTAGGGATGCTCAGCCAGTAACAGGCTTGATAGTACTGTTTCCACATATGGAGGTTCGTGGCGGAGGGGTTGGGGGGAGCTTTTCTTGGGTCAGAATCAGTTTCTTGTAACTGAAAGAATCAATAAACGGCAAATTTAAAAGGATGAAAACAGTGGCTGGTGGTGGTGGTTGGTAGGTGGAGGTGGAGGTGGAGGTGGGAGGTGGAGGTGGTGGTGGTGGTGGTGATGGTGGAGGTGGACGTGGAGGTGGTGGTGGGTGGTGGTGGAGGTGTTCGTGGAGGTGGGTGGTGGTGGTGATGGTGGTGGTGAGGGTGGAGGTGTTCGTGGAGGTAGGTGGTGGTGGTGATGGTGGTGGTGGTGATGGTGGAGGTGGACGTGGAGGTAGGTGGTGGTGGTGATGGTGACGGTGGACCTACCACCTCAACTCACCCTGAAGGCTGCAGGCTGTATTCCCGAGCTCCGCAGCTGATTTAGTCGGGCATCCAGGATCTCAATGCCAGTGGGAAGCACGGGCAGAGCTTCCAGCCGGTTCTCTCGGAGGATGAGTTCCCGGAGGGCATGCAGCAGGCAGAAGGCATTGTTAGCGATGTAGGAGATGAGGTTGTTGGAGAGATCGATCCTCTTTAACTTTGCTGAGAGAGGTAGAGGGAGAACAAGGAGAGAAAGCGGAAGACACTGCCTTTCCTTGCCCGGCTTGGAGCTGTATCCACACCTTGTTCTCTCCCTCTCGGGAGAAAGGGACTCTAATCAGCTCTCCACCTGTACTAGGCCCAAACCAGAGGAAATAACATAATCCAGGGCTCCTTGGAAAGCCCTCGGATGCCTCCGTGCCCTTCCCTGGAGTTCTGTCCTGTGCGGTGGCCGTCCAGCTTGGGTCTTTTGGAGGAAACCTCTTGAGGGCAAGAGCCAACAGGTCCAGGAATCCCTGGATCCACTTCACCTCCGCTGTGGGTCTATGCAAAAGGGCACCGCGGCCGCGAAAGGCTGTGGGTAATTAGTGTCGAATCTGGATCAGAGCCCAGGTCTCCTGTCTCAGGCAGGGCATAGGCATAAAGAAGCAAAAAGCACACAAACAGCCATGTCAACAGCATAGCGCCATGGAGGGCAGGTTTAAGCCAGTCTGTCCAGAGGCCAGCTGATCACACAGCTGTCACTGCTGGGACGTCCCGAAGGTGTTGGCAGATCATACCTTCCCTTCCCAGCTTCCCAGACCTTTTTGGAGAACAAATAAAAACCGGTCACTTCCACCATCTAAACACTTCAAGGAAGGGGCTTATAGAGACTTGGGGCTATTTACTTTTGACAGCTGGAGGGACAGAGAGCCCACAGGAAAGAGCTAACACGGGCAGGGGCTAACAGTGTTGGTGACTGTTCTTGTGGTGACTCTTCTCCCTCTGCCTGTCCCCAATGCCTCTTTTCCCAGAGCATTACATACTCAGCCCTTGGAAGTCTTCCGTCCGGATACGGCTGATACGGTTGAAGCGGGCATACAGGTAGGCAGTCCTCCGGGGAAGAGGAGGAATGTCCTCTAGGTCAATGTCGTCGCAATACACAGAGGAACCGAGGCACACGCAGACCAGGCAGGTGGGCAGGCCTGGCCCAGGTGGAAGACAGAACAAAGGGGGGATTCCTTCAGCCTCTGTGGTCAGCGGCGCTCACCCCAGGGAGTGGCTGGACCATGGCCATCTGTGCCTTTTTGACAGCCTACGCACTGCTTCCCAAAACCGATGGGCACCAGGTACTCAGTGCTGTTGCGATGCTCCCAGCCTGTCACTCTGCCCTCGACCCCAGAGAAGCAGGTCCACCCTCAGTTATTAAACAGTCTAAGCCCATTTGCATTTTCAGCAGGCCCTGGTTCTGTGCACATTTTTCTGGGCCTATGCGGCTATTTCTAGGACATCCATTCATCTCTTTCCCATAGGCTTCCTCTCTGGTCCCAAAAAGTAAAGCTGGAATTAAGTGGGATGGCCAGTGGGGGCTAGCTCTGCCATCCACCTTGGGGAAGAGAAACGAGGTGTGTTCTATGTGGCTCCGAGAAGCACAAAAGAACCAAGGTGGAGAGTACAATGCCCGCCCCGCGTCCACTTCCCCTTCTTACGGCATCAGCATGCCAGTGTTTCTTTGGGAAGCAGCCCTCTCCTGCTCTCCGTCCATGACCGTACCTCTGTACCCAGTGGTCATGAGGTTAAGCCAGATCGCCCTACACAGACCGGCCTGAAAATTCTGGGGAGACTTTATCGGATCACACAACTGAATAGCCCAGGTGGTTTCTCTCACTTGCTCTCTCAAGGCACAGAGATTACTGAGAGACCAGTGCAGCTCCACTCAAGGAAGAAGTCTGGTAGGAGTTAGGAGTGACATAGCTTCAAGACTGAGCAGTTCTCTGCCAGCAGTGACCAGGAGGAGGGGGTGGAGCAGAGGGGCTCCAGCATCTTTCTTATCCCAAGGCTTTGAATGGTGGGGTCAGCTGAGGCCCTTTACGGCCCCGTTTAAGCCTGAGGCTGTAGTTCTGAAAGGTTATGGATTCCTAACTGAATGGTTTTCCTGCCGATGCCCCAGTGACACAGGTCCAACCAAGGCAAACATCCCAGGAAGAGAACAGGGAACCTGAGACGCTGCAGGCAAGCAGGTCCAGAATGAACTTCACCCTTCTCTGCCCGCTTCTGATTTCCAGCAGAGCGCCCAGGCCTCACTGCCAAGGATGCCAGCTCCAGCCTCCAGGAGGGCATCCGGGAAAGAAAGAGAGCTGCTGAGGAGGGACTTTGAAGCTGAAAAGCAGTGTGACTGCTTCATTTGCTCCCATGCCAAGTGACAGCCACAAAGTTATTTAGTCTTCTCTACAGGCTTTTAATTGTCTCTAATCTAATTACCACTCAACCTGCTCCCCCCGTCATGCTGTTAATTAAGGCAGGGTGGCTTTGCTAGGGCATCGGGGAGTTCTGGCATTTCTTTGCTTCCTACTCAACGTGTACATTCAGGTAAAAGTATTAGGGACAGCCAGTGCCTGTTTGAATTCCAGTTTTCTTTTTGTTCTCTGGCTATTTCCCCTCCTCTCTCTGCTAGTAAAAGTAGCTGTGACCCTCCATGCCCCAACCCCCACTATGTTCCTCTTTGGTGCTCCCTGGTGCTGGGTCACAGCTGCTTGGCCTAGGACCTAGGGATATCGGGACCATGTGACTGCGAACTTACCGTGGTTGGGCTGGGAACTCAGTATCAGCCCCGCTGTAGTAGGTCTGCTCGTTGTGGGCTTTGATGAGGGTGTCTTTGGAGCCTCCGTGCTCTTGGCGGGACTGATCCTGGTTGCGGGAGCCAGGCTAGTCACCTTAACCTGCAGAGGTAGCACAGAGGACACCATAGCCCCGCTCTTGCCCGAAAGGGACTTAGCTTTGGACTCTGGGAACCTCAGTGATGGATTTCAAACCTGCAAAGACTCACTGTGGAGAAGGAGGAGGGAGGGATCGCAGAAAGACTGTGCAAAAAGGGAGACCCGAGAGAGCATCAGGTCCAGCCTGTCCATCCTATAGACAAAGCAACTGAGGCCCGGAGAGGAGAGGGATGAGGATCGAGGAGCCAGCAGGTGGTCAAGGCAGAGATGGAAGCTGCTCTCGGGGTTTCCCAGGCTGGCGCTCTTCCCCTGCTCCACACTGACCAAGCTCATGCAGCAATCAGGTGGGGAATTCTGGGCTTGCACCCACACTGCTGCAGTGAGGCCAAGTGGGCCTGGGAAAGAACTTCAGACTGGAGGACAGTTTCAGAAAAGAGATAGGGAATGTGGCTCTTTTATTTCCTAGAGAATATGACGAGGACTTTGGGACCCCCCCCCCCAACCACCACTCAGTGAGACATGGCTTCGGGTCCTACTTGACGGCAGTGGGTGGGATGTATGGCTTCTGAAGAAGGAGGAGTCCCGGGTTTGTGTCCTCTTTCTTAGTATCATCTAAATGACAAGTCCCTATGGAGGGACAAGAATTTCCACCTCATAGAGTAAGAGATGGAGGCTTGAGACAGCCACACTGTGGGGCAGGTGGGAGGGCCTGGGCGTCTCTGACTCTGTGTCATGCAGGGAATGCAGTCGGTCTGCTGTGTCCCTCACCTCGGGGGGCTGGTCCCCATAGTCCGTAAGCTCCTCGAAGTTGCTCAGGTCAATGACCTCACCATAGTTGTCTGGGCTCAGAGGCAGAACTTCAGAGGCATCGCCTTCCTCAGGCATCTGCTCCTCTCTCCTCTTCCTCTCCTTCGTTGAGAAAGAAGCTGCCCCTGTCTCCTGCGGCACCAAGGCCAGCACACTCAGGAAAGCCAGGAGCTTCATGCGGAGTGGGATGGGGATGAGAATGTCTTCAGCGGCCGGTCCCGGCGAGTGGCTAGGAGGAAGGGCAGCGGTCTGAGGGGCAGGCCCTCTGAAGGGTTGCGGGAACGGCTCACAGATTGACCCCACTTCCCACCCACACACTTGCAGACTCAGCGCCCCTCATCACATGCACAAACTCCCTACCAGCCGCATAGACTATGTCCAGACTGTCTTGGGGCTATCTCCTAGCAGCTCCCTCCCACCACCGCCCCACATGAGTGTTTTTACACGCTCACCCAAACACTGATATTCACTCACAGAAGCATGTGCAGACATGTGTCAACACAGACACATTCGCAAGAGTCTCCTTGTCTACAAACAAGGCATATGCTGGTGCATGCACACAGATGTCCTCCCTTTCACAACCCCATGCTCAGAATGTGACTGCTAATCACCAAGCTCGATTAAGAGAATGTCAGCTCAAAGAATCTTGTATGGCTTTTAGTTTTGTTTTGTTTGAGATGGAGTTTCGCTCTTGTTGCCCAAGCTGGAGTGGAGTGGCCCACTGTAAACTTCGCTTCCCAGGTTCAAGCTATTCTCCTGCCTCAGCCTCCTGAGTAGCTGGGATTACAGGAACCCACCACGCCTGGCTAATTTTTGCATTTTTAGTAGAGATGGGGTTTCACCATGTTGGCCAGGCTGGTCTCAAACTCCTGACCTCAGGTGATCCACCTGCCTCAGCCTCCCAAAGTGCTGGGATTACACGTGTGAGCCCCCAAGCCTAGCCGAATCTTGTGTTTTTTTGTTTGTTTGTTTGTTTGTTTGTTTTTTAAAAAGATCATCCATTCATGCATTTGCTCAACAAACATTTATGGGTGTCTATTAAGTTCCAGGCACAGGACGTGTCTCTGTGGGTACAGAATGAGTAAGGCACAGCCCTTCCTAGTAACACCTACTCTATTTAGGAGACATGACTTACAATGCAACATACAATGTAAAAAGGAATGTTAGTTTATGAAATATACTTGTAAATGCAACTTTTTAGAAACAGATTATTGGCCGGGTGTGGTGGCTCAAGCCTGTAATCCCAGCACTTTGGGAGGCCGAGGCGGGTGGATCACGAGGTCAAGAGATCGAGACCATCCTGACCAACATGATGAAATCCTGTCTCTACTAAAAATACAAAAAAAATTAGCTGGGCGTGGTGGCGTGCACCTGCAGTCCCAGCTGTTGGGAGGCTGAGGCAGGAGAATTGCTCGAACCTGGGAGGTGGAGGTTGCAGTGAGCCAAGATCGTGCCACTGCCCTTCAGCCTGGCGCCTGGCGACAGAGCAAGAGTCTGTCTCAAAAAAAAAAAAAAAAAAAAAAAAAAGAAACAGATTACTACAAATACACGAGCTCTTTGTGTGCAGTTGTGTGAGTGTGTATGCATCTGGAAAGTTCCTTAGATACCTGTGTACATTTGCATGTGTGTGTGCGCAGATGCCTATGTATGTATGTGATATGCATGTGAGTACAAATGTTCATGCAGTTAGTATATGCACAGATGGGTCAGGAAATTCATGTGGTATGGGTGTCGTATCCAGGCATAAGTGTGTACAACAGTCATACCCAGTGTAGGCTTAACACAGCCCTCCCCAAAGCTAGCTGCACGAGTTTCTAATAGATTCTCCCCCTTTCTTTCTTTAAAAAATTTTTTTAATCTTTTAATTTTTATTTTATTTTTTAATTTTTAAGACAGGATGCCATTCTGTTGCCCAGGATGGAGTATTATGGCACGATCACAGCTCACTGCAGCCTTAACCTCCTTGGCTCAGGCAGTCCTCCTGCCTCAGCCTCTAGAGCAGCTGGGACTGCAGGCATGTGCCACCATGCCCAGTTAATCGCCCACCCTTTCTTCCTTCCTTTGTTTTTTTCTTGAGTTGGAATTTTTGCTCTTATTGCCCAGGCTGGAGTGCAATGGCGCGATCTTGGCTCACTGCAACCTCCACCTCTCGGGTCAAGAAATTCTCCTGCCCCAGCCCCCCAAGTAGCTGAGATTATAGGCATGTGCCACCACGCTGGGCTAATTTTGTATTTTTTTTTGTAGAGACGATGTTTCTCCATGTTGGTCAGGCTGGTCTCAAACTCCCGACCTCAGGTGATCTGCCTGCCTCAACCTCCCAAAGTGCTGGGATTACAGGTGTGAACCACCATGCCCGGCCAACCTCCCCTGCTTTCCCCCCACTTTTTAAATTTCATCTGGGCAAACGGGCAAGCCGCCAACAGTAGCAACAGGTGTTTCTTCACCTTACCTCCCATACCTCACTTCGAATGAATCACATAATCTTTAAAAAACAATTTCTGAGACAGTCCAGTGCCCACCCAGAAGTCTTGTCCGACTTCTTTGGTCAGAGGCCTAAATAAACTCTCTTGATTCTCCCTGCCCAATCCCCCGCCCCCACCAAACACTTTGTTCTCATCTGCATACCGATATGCTGAAGGCCTCAAACCTTGAACCTTACCCCTTCAATGCTTCTGGATCCTGGATGGAGAGCCCTGCAGCTTCCGGGAAGGTGGGAACTCTGGTGGAGTCTGAAATGGCGCTTGGGTTAGACAGTGGTGCCTGGGGACGGGTGGCAGTAAGGAGTTGGCCAGGCCTGTGACCAATCAGACCTCTCATTCCTTCTGATACCCAGCTGTTTCCCCTCCTCTTTCCTCAGGGGGTCCCCTGCCCCATTCCTTTGCTTGACAAAAGGGAATTCTCCCCCCACTTGCACTTCACCCCCCTCCAGCTTCTGCTCTGTCTCTCCTCTTACTCTGTCAGTTGCTTCTTTCTCCTCCCTCCTGATAAGGCCACATTTTTGAGGAACAGGCAGTGCCATCCCCCCCAAGGAAGGGGCCCCATCCCTCAGACTCTGAGCCCTCAGAGAAGGCTGGAGGAGGAGCACATGAAGAGACAGTTCGTCATTCCAGCTTCTTTCTCCAGCCAGAGAGTAACGAGGCTTCGGCTTCATAGCCAGAATACAAAGGTAAAAAGAGGTGGAACTGAGGCCCTTCACCCCTACCCCCAGTCCCGCCCAGAACCAAATCACCAGAGGCAGGAGCTGAAGGCCTAGATGGCTAAAAGAGACGGGGGATGGGGGGTGACGTAGGATTTGAAAGCCAACTTCAAGTTCACAGGTAATGATCATGAGGATATGGGAAATTCTCTAAATCTGTTTGGAGGAAAGCAAATGGAAATTGGGAGATGGGCCTAGAAAGGGTCATCAACACCAGAAGACATTGTGTCGGGTGTTTGGGGGCCTGGAAGCATCCTCTCCCCCACCCTCAGACATGTACAGTCATTCCTCAGTAACCATGGGGGATTGGTTCTGCATGCCCCGTGGGTACAAATCCACACATGCTGAGGTCTTTTATATAAAATGGTGAATTTGCAAATCACCTACACACATCCTCCTGTGTACTTCAAATCATCTCTAGATTGCCTATAACACCAAATGCAATTCTTACACCTCATTCCATTCACGTGGATTCCACATAGTACTGGCACACAGCAAATTCAAATTTGCTTTTTGGAACTTTGTGAAAACATTTTTTTTCTGAATATTTTCAATCTGCAGTTGGTTGAATCCAGGGATGTGGAACCCACAGATCCAGAGGGCCAGCTGCACTTATCTGGAAACACTCCCCTTTCCTTGCTGCCTGGAGCAGGCTGCTTTGCAGAGGGCGAGGTAGCTACGGTGCCTTCCCCCAGCTTCTACCAGCCTGTGCCCCAGCGCCCACCCCGGTTTCTCAGTGACGCTCCTTGCTCCCTACTCCTTCCCACTGACCAGCTGTGAGGCCCCCTTAATGATCTAGTCCAAATCCCTATGGTATAGATGAGGAAGGTGAGGCCCACAGAGGTGAGGTGGCTTGCCCTCGGTCACACAGAGCCAGGGCCAATGCCTAGACTTTTTGACTCTCAGGTCAGTGAGTTTTCTTTACTTCATATGACTCTCCCCATTCCCACCTTCTTCCCCAGGAGTCCTGAGTCCATGTGTTTCCAGGCCCTCAGAGCAGATGGCTTGGCAGAACTTATCTCTGCCCTGGCACACCGGGTGAAGAGGCAGATCTAATAGCCTGGCCCACGAGGCCAGCACTTGGCTTGCTGTGTTCCCGGGTACCAGCTGGTATGAGAGGGGGCTTCCCCCAGCCCAAGAGCCTGGTCATCAGACAAGAGCCTGTTCCTGTACCCCTGCAGCTCCCGACCTGGGGAGAGACGCCATCAGAGGCTCTGTTGGGTGGAGGAAAAGTTAGCCGTGGATCCTGGGGGTGCCCGGGAGGCAGATGGCACATTTGGCAGGCTGCGTGCCTCCATCTTCTTTCCACAACCTGGACTTTGCAGCCAGAGGGCCTCCGCCCCCACAGCCAGCCTAGGGGCATCTCCCCTTCCCACCCCACACATTTATTCCCGGGAGAAATGGAAATGCAAGTGTTCATTGACTCTCCCTGCCGCCTGCTCCCACTCTCCCTCTCTGCTTTCCCAGTGACACACATGGTCCTGCCATCCCTGCTTGGCTGCTGCACCCCACCATTGATCCTCCCAATGCATACACACCTGCTCCCCCTACTCCCGCTGGGAGCCACATCCGGACACAGGCTCGCATCCTAGACCCTTTCCCAAACTTCTACTCTGCTTTCCCAAGCTCGAAGGTCACACGCTCTTGTCCTCATGAATATAAGGGGCTGTTCACAGATGCATACAGGGGACCTGGGGGGTAAACGGCCAACCCAGACTGTTGTTCCAGGCAGCCCAGCTCCCCGAGAGCCTGGCAAAGGAAGCAGGAGGTGTGGGAGGCGTCTGAATCCTAATCTCTCATTAGGAAAGGCACAAGGCGTGTTGATGAATTGGAGGTGGCAGGTGGTATGGACAGACGTCTGGCCAGCCAACCCTGTGGTTGCCCTTTTCATAGACAGGGAGAGAGAGGTGGGGAAGTTCAGGCACCCTCCTGCGTTTTGGAGGACAAGGGTCTATCCTGCTGAGGGTTTGCAGCCACCTAACTCCATGACCGGAACACGACCCTCTCCTCTGTTTCAGACACACAGCCCCACTGGGTGGGCTCCACACCCTCCTACCTTTTTGCTCATGCTGTTTCCCATCTTGGTTGTGTCTTTTTTCTTTCTTTCTTTCTTCCTTTCTTTCTTTCTTTCTTTTTTTTTTTTTGAGACGGAGTCTCACCCTGTCACCCAGGCTGGAGTGCAATGATGCGATCTTAGCTCACTGCAACCTCCTCCACCTCACCGGTTCAAATGATTCTAATGCCTCAGCCTCCCAAGTAGCTGGGATTGCAGGCACCTGCCACCACACCCAGCTAATTTTTGTATTTTTAGTAGAGACGGGTTTTATTATGTTGGCCAGGCTGGTCTTGAACTCCTGACCTTGTGATCCGCCCACCTTGGTATCCCAAAGTGCTGGGATTACAGGTGTGAGCCACTGTACCCGGCCTGCATCTTTTTTTTTTCTTTCTTCCACCTGACCAAATCTGATTTATCCCTTAAGAGCCAGCTCACATGGTAGGGACGTTTCTGGTTTTCCGTAGACAGAGGTAAAAGCCCTCTCCTCTATGTTGCTCATACACAGCATTTTACAAACACTTAAGACATAGAGGTATCCATTCATGGATTTCTTTCCCCTTACTCAAAGGTATGCATTGTATATTACCCATCCTTGAAGTCTTATCTGCGGACCTGGCATATGGCTGGTATCCACTGAACATCCGTGAAGTGAACGGAAGTAGATGTCTAGTAGGCAGGCGGGAGCAGTGAGGACGTCACCTGGCAGTTCTCACTCTAAAGAAGATGGGTAGCCTGGGAAGGTCATGAACCCCACTTCTGCAACCAACCTTCCCTTTGAAGAGAGATTCTGGGGCACCCTGTTCTGACCCTTCTGTGGACTTCCGCATGGCCTTCAGACCATTCCAGATGACTGGCTCTATGCTCTCTGCCCTCGGGGCAGCTCTTTCACTGTTTTGTGTGCACACTGCATCTCCCCGGCTAGTCTGTAAGCTTCACTCGGGCAGGAAAGGCAACTGTTTTGTGTCTTTCTGTGGCTGCCTCTACACCGAGCTCCTGGAACACCCTCAACAATTTAGTATGTGCAGGTTGAAAGAACCTGATGCTTTGGGTTTCAAATGCAGCTGTCAGATTTCTGGTCTGACTTTAAGAATATATATATATATATATATATATATATATATATATATATATATTTGTCTGTGTTGGGGCAGTCCTGTGGAATTGAGGATTAATTTTTTATGAGGGTTGTGAGGAGTTTGGGAGAAATTCTTCAAGAAAAGGCTTTGGGGCTGGGCACAGTGGCTCACACTTGTAGTCCCAGCACTTTGGGAGGACTGCTTGAGGCCAAGAGTTCTAGAACAGCCTGGGCAATGTAATGAAATCCTGCTGCTATTAAAAGACAGAAGAGGAAGAAGAAGAAGAAAAAGAAGAAGGAGAAGGAGGAGGAGGAAGAGGAGGAGGAGGAAGAGGAGGAAGAGAGACGAGGCCTTAGAATAGCTTTCCTAGGAATTTCTTAAGAATATAATCTTTTCTCCACTCATCTTGTTAGAGCAAGTAAGAGGCTCTGGGGCTGGGAATGGTGGCTCAGTGGTAGGGGGTGGGTAGCAAGACGACTTTTTATTTTATTTTATTTTATTTTATTTTATTTATTTATTTTTTCTGAGACGGAGTTTCGCTCTTGTTATCCAGGCTGGAGTGCAATGGCACAACCTTGGCTCACCGCAACCTCCACCTCCTGGATTCAGGCAATTCTCCTGCCTCAGCCTCCTGAGTAGCTGGGATTACAGGCACGTGCCACCATGCCCAGCTAATTTTTTGTATTTTTAGTAGAGACGGGGTTTCACCATGTTGACCAGGATGGTCTCGATCTCTTGACCTCGTGATCCACTCGCCTCGGCCTCCCAAAGTGCTGGGATTACAGGCGTGAGCCACCTCACCCAGCCGACTTTATTTTATTTTTATCTTTTTTTTTTTTTTTTTAGATGAAGTCCCCTTCTGTCTCCCAGGCTTGGAGTGCAATGGCGCAATCTCAGCTCACTGCAACCTCTGCCCCCTGGGTTCAAGCAATTCTCCTGCCTCAGCCTTCCGAGTAGCTGCAATCACAGGCATGTGCCACAATATCCAGCCAATTTTTTGTATTTTTAGTAGAGAAGGGGTTTCACCATGTTGGCCAGGCTGGTCTTGAATTCCTGACCTCAGGTGATCCTCCCATCTCGGCCTCCCAAACTGCTGGGATTACAGACAAGAGCCACTGTGCCCGGTCAGCAAGATGACTTCAAAATGTTATTCTTGACCTGTTCACACTGTCAAGTTCAAGCAGGGTGTTTTCCATATTACTTTATTTCCTCTACTGTGAAGCGTGTTGAAATATGGAAGTTATTTCACAAAGTTACCACGGTCTTCAAGAGAGAAGAGATACACATGCAGAGCACACATACACACCTGTATATGTCAATGACAACAGCATGGAGGGAATGAACTTGTGCATGGAGAAGGGGGCTTTTTTAAACACAAAAACCAGCACATGGTGTGTGTGTTTTGGGGGAGGGGAGCCTGTAAAGCCGGTTTACCTTGAGTCCCCTCTGGCTTACAGCTGCAGAGAGTGATGGAGAGAGCAGACAGACTCTAGATTGGGCAATGGGATGATGGAGATTGCCTTGCTGCTAAACGAGTCTGGGTTTGCAGGATCAAGGGAATGACCTCTTCCCCGAGGGCCTCATCAACCTTGAGGATTGCAAGCTGCGAATAAGATGCAGAAGGGCTTATCCAGGCTCAAGTGGCTTTCAGCCATAATAATATGTCGACTTTAAGCAGGAGCCTTGGAGAAACCAGCTGCAGCTAGGATGAACGCGGCGATCTTAGCGGAGTACAGGAGGAGGCTATGATGAAATGGGCCCTATTTTCCATAATTAGCCAAAGAGAAAGGTGAGAAGGAGCATAATGGGAATTTCTTGAAGTTAGGGACCCAGCTAACTTCAAGACCCAATTTCTTGAAAACCTCTGGAACTTTTTGCAACCTAACTTCGGGGCGGGCACTGTGTCTTACTCATTTCTAGAACATCTATCCCCTACGCCTCCCACCAACATACACAGGCTGAGAAGGGGCATCATCCCTTGGAGGAAGTTAGGGGGAAAGGTGAAGTCGAGGCAGCCTTGTCTGGGCCGGGTTCCACTTGGAGACCCGCCAAGCTGCTCACCTAGGCCAGGGATGGAGGGTGGGGAAGCCTCTGGCGGAGGGACAGTCCATATAGAAAATAAATTACTGCAAGGGAAGGGGCAAAGATTTAGGACTTGTCCTGTATTCGAGGATGATTTAGTGTGGAGCCGCAGATTCGGAGCGGAGCGTCGCAGGGACCTCAGAAGAGCATCGTTTTTGTTGTTGTTTCTTTTTTGAGATAAGAGCCTCACTCTGTCGCCCACTCTGGAGTGCAGTGGCATGATCTCGGCTCACTGCAACCTCCAGCTCCCAGGCTCAAGCGATTCTCCTGCCTCAGCCTCCCAGTAGCTGGGATTACAAGCCTGCGCCACTACACTTGGCTAATCTTTTTGCATCTTAGTAGAGACGGCGTTTCACCATATTGGTCAGGGTGGTTTCGAACTCTTTAGCTCAGGCAATCATCTACCCGCCTCGGCCTCCCAAAATGCTGGGATTACAGGCGTGAGCCACCGCGCCCAGCCAGGAGCATCTTATCGACGTCCTCGGTTTCCAGATGCTGGAACTGAGACGGCACCACCCGGAAAGGGCATGCCACAAACGGGAACCGCCTACGTCCTCCCCTGGGCTCACTCATCATGGGAATGAGCCCCAGCCTGGGGACCCTTGTGCCCTTTAGACCCTGGAGACGAGCGACACCATGCACACGGCCCACGGCTCTTCCATGTTAGGGATCCCACGGGGGCTCCTCCGCCGAGGACGATCACCCCCGGGAGAGTGCGGGCGGGAGACTCGGGCCGGCTGTTACCCGCACCAGCCACGAGGTGGCGCCGGCGCGTCTGTCTCCGAGGCGGAGGCGCGTTTTCCAGCACCGAGGGGCTCCGTGCACGTGTGCAGATGCCCCGCGCCTTCCTCTGTTTCTCAGGAGCCGCCTCCCGGGGGTGGAAGTGGCCGGGCCGCGCGCCCTGATGGAGAACAGATGGCGGGGGCGGGGCTGCTGCCTCTTCCCTCCCCGCCCCCACGCAAACGCTGTGAACGCCGCTCCCTAACCCGAGGCTGGGCAAGGGGGCCCGTCCAAGGCTTGAGCCGCCCCCTCCCATGGCTGCTTCCTAGTTCCTTGGGCCATTCTGCTCCTCGGCTGTCCCTCCTGCGCCCCAGCCAGGAGCGAGTGAGCTCTGCTCACCCTGGGGCGGGAGGGCCCCCGCGGGAGCCCTGAGCCTGCAGCCCCTCGTCCTTCCCTCGCTCCTCCTTCCCGGAGACCTGGGCCAGCAGGGCCAGGGCGAGGTCTGGGGCCGGGGAACCGCGCGGCGGAGCAGCAGCTTTGCCAGAAGGGATCCGAGGCCGAGGAGAACTGGGTTTCTCGGCCTCTTGGAGCCAGAGCTGCCCAAGATGGAGGCGTCCCCAGGGGGACTTTCTGAACCTTACCTCCGGGCCGCTTGCTGGGCCAGGACCAAGATCAGATGTCAGTCAGCCTGTGGCCCAGATGTCCCCAGGAGTGGCGGGTGGGGGAGGAGAGACAGGGGACACCAAGTCTTTAGACACATCTGTGTTTCTGGAGCAAAGGGAAACCACAGAAGGCCAGGAGTTTGGGTGTGCACTGGGTGTCTTTCAACTGGGTGGGACCAAACCGAGCCCTTGGAAGTCTCGCTCCTGAGGCTGCAGCAGAATGGATGGCTTTTCCCTGCCTCGAGGGTGGGATAAGGGAGGCAAAGCTGGGAGCAAGAAAGGGACAGAGAGAAAACGAGTGGCGGGCACAGGCGCCTGGGCCCCAGCCTTCAAGTGCGGTCAGAGCAGATCCGTGGGGGAGCAGGGCCTAGATGACCACGGACTGCAGGAGGCGGAAGCACATCATGAGGTCCAGCGGGATGGGCGGCTTCAGGTAGTTCCCATCCAGCCGCAGGTAGCGCAGGTGTGGCACGTTCTCCAGGTCCGAGGAGAAGTCATGGAACGCGACTAGGTCGTTGGGGCAAATCTGGGTTCCGTTGATTTCTACGGAGAAAGAAGAGAAGTCAGCAGGGAATGGAGGTGGAGGGATCAGGGCAGACCGAGGCTGGCGGCCAAGATTTGGAAGGGGAAGGGAGAGGACACCCGACAGCCAGGACTGCAGACTTCTCTCTGAAACTGGCTGGCTTTGGGAAGTGTGATCATAGATGAGCTGCCTGGACCCCCAGGCTCAGTTTACTCATTTGTAAAATGAATCAAGTTGGAATTGATCATCAACTGCTCTTGCAAGTTTACTCTAGAGAATTGGAAGTCAATTTTGAGCTGGGCCTTCGAGAATCAGTAGGATTACAACAGGTGGAGATTAGGGGATGGTGTTCTGACAGAGGAATCTGTTTGAATGAAGTCGTGGAGGCCAAAATTCTGCATATGGCTGAATCTGGGAGTAGTAATAGTGCAATGTGGTGTACTAAGGAAAGTAAGCTGGGAAGGTATTTCATTAAGAGGCTTTTGATCTCCGGTCGGAGGAATGGCAGCGAACAGGGCTATCTTTATGTGAGCGATGTTATTAAGAGGATGCTTGAACCATGATCTCCTGGAGTGTTAAATCTGGAAGGGTCTTTGGGATCCCCATGTTCAGGTTGATGCTGTACAAAGATGAACCTGGCTACAGTGTGGAGAAGCAATGGAGTAAGGGGAGATCGGAAGCCAGCACGTGGATGTGAAAATGACTCTACAGGTTTTCCTTTGAATCGGATGTGAGGCATGAGGATGGGCGAAAGATGGGAACTGAAATAGGGATGACGAGAAGAGGAAAGATGGTCTGCGGAGAGCTCCAGAGCCCCAGGGACACGATGAGACTACTGATTCTGAAGGGTCCATGGCCTGAGATTCCGTTTGCTCCATCACCTCTTGTTAGATGCCTGTAGCACCAGGCATGCCAGCATTTAAATGAACTGTTTTATTATCCCTAAGCCTTGCCTCACTTATCATTTATGGAGGAGGAGGAGGAAGAGTAGGTAGGCATCATCTTCGCTGTGGCTGTCTTCCTCTTCCTTTTCCTCCTCTTTCTCCTTTGTCACTGGAGTCGAAGAAGGGCCCAGACACAGGGTTTTTCTCTTATGACCTTTGTGACTTCGGGCCATTACCTAGCCACCCTGATGCTGAGTTCTTCAGTCTGTGAAATGTTAAGAGTGGTGCCTGCCCTGTAATCAGGGGAGAGAATGTTGGCAAAAGCATTTTGCAAGCTGTTTGAGGACAGTACCAGTGGCAGCATTACTGTCATTGTGAAGAACATAATCGTCACACTGACCTAGGTCCCACTGAGCCCGTTCTGTCTGTGAAAGGCGCAAGAGACAGGCTGGATGGAGGTGGGCTCATGTGGGTGAGGTGTAAGTCTGACTTCAACCTCAGAAGGCTAGGATATCCCCCAGGAACCTGTTCTTCCATAATCTGGTAGAGACCTATCAGCCATTTATTAATTAAGGTATCTTTTCTGTCTACATCTTGGCCTTATAGCTTCCTGGAGGTAATGTGTTTTATTTTCATGTGCTGTCTCCAGAGTAAAATCAAACCATCTTCTCCCTTTCCCAAACTTTTTTTCTAAGATTCAAAAAAAATTCTCCCCTACTTCTTGAAATTATCCCAGATGAGTGTCTGGATCTATTTCCCATCCACTTGTTTCAAGACTGTAGAAACCAACAATCTCTCTCTCGTTATTTGGCTTGGAAACGGAAGGATCCCCAAATATCATTCTAAGGGCCTGCTCTTTTCCCTCAATCCCTTTCTTCCCTTCTGCTGCTGCATCCCTTGTGGGAATGTAGGCTGATTTTGTTCAAGAACCAGAAAATGTTATTTCACTTCTACATCTTCCTGCTGACGCTCTGCTCAGAGCTGAAATTTTTGATTGAAGCAAAACTGCAACTTCCAATCTCCTCTCCTGGGCTGTAGCTGACACTACAAGTCCAGAACCCTGTAAATGTCACTTAGGCAAACTCTCCCTTAAATGTAGCTCAACATTGCAACCTTCCAGATAGATTGAGACTGGCATACAGACCTTTTCTTCCTGGCTGCCACATTTTTACCAGTTGCATACCCTGAATTGAAACCGAGGCTCAGGCTTGGGAAGAAGTGTCCTCCCACAGGGACAGGGTTTCTGCAGAGGGCGGGCCCAGGACATGTCAAGATACGTATTTAAATGTCTCTGTTCTGTTTTTAGCAGAAAGTCTAGGAGTATATTCCATGACGACCCTACCTATAGATCCAGTTGCCAAGGAACTGAGGCTGAGGAAGAACGAAGGAAGAAAAGCTATGACCCCCCAAGTATGATATTCTGGGTACTTTCTCCATATTACGTCTCTATTACATCTTTGTATCACCTTTGTGATAGAAGATTATTATTACCATTCTCATTTTACAGATGAGGAAACTTCCCAGAGAGGTCAAATATCTTTTCAAGGTCACCTAGATAGCCAGTGGCAAGGCCATAAATTGAAATCCAGTGCCAAAGTGGATGCTTTTGATACCACCCCACCCTAAGGCTTCCTAGAGAGGGCGGAGGCGCTACACGAGCCAACCTCCTTGCCTGCGGCCCCGCCCCGGCCCCGCCCACTCACTCTCGATACTGTTGTTGTTGAGGTACAGGTGTTCCAGCCTGTTGTTGATGGCGGGCATACTGCTGATCCTGTTGTGTGACAGGTGGAGCACGAGCAGGTTGGAGATGTTGAAGGAGTTCTTGGGGAGCCCCCTGTCCGTCAGCTTATTGTAGTTGAGTCGAATGAAGGCAAGATTGGGAAAGCTCTTGAAGTAACCGTTAGGGATAGTCTCAATCTTGTTGCTGTCCAGGTAGAGCTGGTGAATGGCGGTGGGGACCCTGGGCGGCATCTTTCTCAGGATGTTGTGGGCCAGGTTGAGCTGCATGAGGTTCTTGAGGCCCTGGAAGGTGTCGGGCTTGAAGACGCCGTCGCTCAGCCTGTTGTGCTGGAGATCCAGGAGTAGCAGGTTCTCCAGCTTGCTGAAGACGCCAGGTGGGATTCTGGAGATGTGGTTCTGGCTCAGCCGCAGCTGCTCCAGGTTCCGGGGCAGGGCCGAGGGGACCTCTTCCAGCTGGTTCTTCTCCATGTAGAGGAACACTAGGCCAGGCAGTTTCTCCAGCACCCTCTGGTCTATCTTGCGGATTCGGTTGTTGTCCAGGTTAATCCATCGCAGGCCTGTGGCATTCTGGAAGGACTCCACCGGGAGCTCAGTGATGAAGTTGTTCTGGAGATAGAGGTAATGGATGCGGGGCGGGATGATGGGGACCTTGCGCAGGTTGCGGCTATCACAGTAGAGGGCAGATGGGAAATCAGGGGGGCAGTAGCATTCGCGGGGACAGTCAGGGAAGATGGATGGAGGGCCTGGAGGGAGGGGAGGAGGCAGGTCTGTTGGCTCTGCTGGTTCATAAGGCTGAGGAAAGCTGGGTGTGGGCCGGGGCCTGGGTCTGGGTCTGCGCCCCGGCCCAGTCCCGGGTCTTGGTCGTCTTGTTGGCTGGCCTTGGGCCACCGAGGCCAAGATGAGAAGTGGGAGGAGCCAGCAGAGGGGTGACCTCATGATCCAGGTGATGCACCTGCAGGGAAGAGACACAGGAGGTCATTAGCCTTGGGCCCTCAGTCACTAGATGTCATATTTTCGAAGCCACAGTTGGGCAGAGCTAGAGCTCCAGGGAAGATGGGCAGAGCTCAGGGAGCTGTAGAAGCATCTCCTTGTTTGCCTGTCCCCGGCAGGTGTGGGAATAACAAGGGCTTGGGGCAACGGATTCCCTGCCCATTGGCTTAGCCGCTTGCTATGTTGAACCGACTCTAAACAGGGGGCGCCATGCTAATAGAAAGCATATGGTGCCAGGCACAGTGGTGCACACCTGTAATCCCAGCACTCTGGGAGGCCGGAGTGGGTGGATTACCTGGGGTCAGTAGTTCGAGACCAGCCTGACCAACATGGTGAAACCCTGTCTGTACTAAATACAAAAAAATTAGCTGGGTGTGGTGCTGGGCGCCTGTAATTCCAGCTACTTGGAAGGCTGAGGCAGGAAAATTGAACCAGGGAGGTGGAGGTTGCAGTGAGCCGAGATTACACTCCAGCTTGGGCAACAAGAGTGAAACTCTGTCTTAAAAAAAAGAAAGCACACTGGACTCTGAGTCAGGAGTCCTGGGGCTTGTCAGAGAAGATCCTTAACTACTCTGGCCCTCAGTCCTCCCATTCATAGCATGAGCAAATCATCAGTGTCTTCAAGAGAGAGATGTTAGGATATATAAAGCATATATAGAGTCCTGGGTGCTAAATCCAGAAAGGTCCTTAAAGATCCCATAACGCAGTGGTTTTCAAACTCTGCCTTTATTTCTGTGGAGCTCCCCTGTAAGGAGGAGACTGAGGAGGTGGCCCTGGGGTGCCCTCAACCCATCCCCATGCCAACCTGAGCAGCTCTCTTTAAAAAAACCTATTATCCCAGCTACTCAGGAGGCTGAAGCAGGAGAATTGCCTGAAACCAGGAGGTGGAGGTTGCGGTGAGCTGAGATCGCGCCATTGCACTCCAGCCTGGGTAACAAATGAAACTCCACCTCACACAAAAAAAAAAAAAAAAAAAAAAACCCTATTATATATATTGAGTTTTAGCCAAAGCATTCATTTTGGGGTGGGGGGAACATGTTTCTTCGATAAAAATGGTTTGAAATCCACCAATCAATTCCATACCCCACTGTTTACAAAAACTGAGGACTGGAGGGAAGCAGTGACTCTCCAGGGCCAGTATGCTATTTAGCAGCAGACCCAGGACAAAAACCAAGGTCCCCTCCCTTCCAGAGGAGAGCTGGTGTGGATCTCGGGAAGGGAGGGAAGTGCCGCCGACACCTTTGCCTCTACCCTGGCTCACAGATGCTCTGGCCTGCCCACCCCCTCCCCACTCCCCGCGCTTGGCTCAGAAAACACTGGTCTCTGCCATTGGGAGATATGCCAAGAATTTCTCCCCAGATGTGGAGACTCCCAGGAAATAAACAGTGGAGGGATTGAAAGATGTGGAGAAAACGCTTTCCTTTCTTTTGGTTTGGTATTGCTGCTCCTATATCCTTTGGAGTTGGTAGTCTTGAGGTGGGAGATCAAGAAGAACCTCCTGCTAGCCTCGGTAACATTGAAATATGGAGCTGAAGGACGTTTTGGTGTTGCCCTCCTTCCCATTGGCCCAGGGGCCCTCCCCATAGGGCCATGTGGCTTGAGTTGAATTGAAACTGGGGAAATAGCAGACCCATGGCTGCAGACAGAAGGCCACGCCCCCACAGGTATCCTCCCCTGGACTAGGCTGGGAGGGGATGCCTGTACCTTCCCCTCTCCAAGGCTGTTATTTCTACGACACCTCCAGACATGATCCCTGTTCCCACATTGCTTCAACTGGCCCTCCTGACCTCTTCCTCAGAACTGGGGTGTCCTTTCCACTGCCTCGAGGTCTGGGCATGCAGGCTTCTCTGAGATAGGCTGGGCTGGAGTATGTCCCCAGCTTGCGTCTGGACCCTGTGATCCCTGTGTTGATTCAGACACCCTGCCTCTCCTGCCTTCCCTTTGAACCCATGTCAGCTTAGACTCTTTTCTTCCTTGACCCAGCGCCTGGCTCCTCGCTGGCTTTGATCAAAGGAAGGCAACAGAAGCCACTCACCAGCTGCTGAATTCTAGGCCAGATGCTCAGGAAAAGCTGAATGTGACAAGAAATGGGAAAGAGAAGGCCTTAGCCATGGGTGGGTAGAGGGTGTCTCACTGCAGCTTATGGGTACGGACACACACGCACACACACACACACACACACACACACACACACACACCACACACCCTTGAACCCTCCCCAGTCTGCACAGTCTCACACACACCTCTTCAGGTCCCATGCACATCAGCAAACTCTCACTTATCCTGTGTGTGTGTACGTGAACGCTTATGCAGTATACTGAGTACTGGAAGGGAAGAAGGAAGGCAGGAGAGCAGAGACCATCTTGCAGCCTGTGTGGCTTCTCCACCTTCCTCTAAGGTGGTCTCTTTCAAGGCAGGCCTCTCCAAGGGGGTCTGGAAGGCCATTTCCCCTGGCCTCCTACCACAAAGGATCTTGGAGTGAGGTTTTTGGCTTGATCTCCTGTTAAGGATATAACATTCTTAGAAATACATTGCAAGGATTAAAAAGAGAAGGCGTTAATTGCAAAACTTTAAGCTTGAGTCTTGTTGGCTGAACCCCACATCAATTGTAATTGGTGAACTATGAATTAACATTCTGTCCTGTAATTTTCTGGAAAACAGAACAGTCATCTTGCATATAAATTAAGGAGGTGGTTAAAGCATCAGGATTCTAAAACAAACATTTCTAAAAGCCTCAAGTTTTGTGACCCTGATTACAAAAAAAAAAAAAAAAATTCTTTATTTTCTAATCACCCAGAAGCCTAGAAATGAGCAAGGAATCTTTCATACTGTGAGACCCCCTGTCTCAAGGAGGCTCCCAGCACTGGTGGGGGGCATGGGGTTGGAGGTTTCTACATTCCTTCATTGCCTTTGTCACCAAAAGCATATGCCAGGGACTAGGCACGAATTTGCCCAGGGCTTCCAGCAAAAGCAGTGAGGCACCTATGGCTGTGGCCTGTGCTGGGAGCGGGTTTCCTTGGCTCAGTGCCAGGGCAGCCCTGGTCTTCATTGTCAGGGGTGAGAGGAGCAGGCAGGCCACTCACAGCTCCACGCAGCAGGCTGGCCGCCCCACCTTCTCATCCACAGTAAACACAGGCCTTTCTCAACCCCACGTGCAGCACCAGACCCTTAGGGAACTTATCCTTTTTTTTCCCCTAGCCCTCTGACCCTTTTACATTCCAAACCTCTGGGCCCAGCCAAGCTCCTCCCAGAGCCAACAGGGCGTTCTCCAGGAAATGCTCCTGGGAGCAAGTTCTGTGGGGAAACCGAAACCTGCCCTCCTCCCCTCCTCCCCACCCCAGGGCTGAAGCAGAACCATTCAGTGTGCCGGGGTTGCTTCTCAAGGAAATAGCGTTCATGGCTAAGGCTTTTCTCATGGGGTGACGCCCCTTCCCGCTGGAGCTTTGCCGGGAGGCGGGATGAGAAGTCCTGACGGCTGACGGCCTGGCCATTCTCTCTGGCAGTGCTCCATAATGTCCTAGGTCTCTGAAATCAGAATCTGTGTGACAGGCTGAGGGTATCTGGACTCCATGGGTGGTCATAGTCCCTCCTACAAAGCCTCAGAGCCTCACTCTATGCTCCTGGCTTCTAGAAACTTCTGTCCAATCATACGATTCCTTAGGATGTGTCCATGTGTGTGTTTTTAAACTTTTCTTAGGCTTTCGCAAGTGCACCTCTCCTCCCACAGCTTTCTACAGGGCTCGGCTCGTTGCTCAGTCAGTGAAGGCTTATTGACCACCTGCGACAGCCAATTGCATGCAGCTCTGTTCTCCACCGTCGGTTCTGGAAAAGCTGCTGCTTCATGGAAGAGAAAAGCAATTGCTTTGCCCAACCCAACATTCACTCTCCACATTTAAGAATGTTTCCTAAGAGAATCTTCATTTTTGTTTTCTTTTTTCACTTTAAACAAAAATGAGATGGGGGTCTCACTATATTGCTCAGGCTGGTTTTAAACTCCTAAGCTCAAGTGATCTTCTCACCTTGGCCTTTTAAAGTGCTGGGATTACAGGAGTGAGCCACCGCGCCCGGCCCCTTAGAGAGTTTTAAATTCAATTTTCAGTTCCAACTATTGTGGATCTGAGCTTGGCTCCTGGCTCTGACTCTCCACCCCAGGCCCCTCATCTGTGTGAGGATCAAACCAGATCGTGCATTTGAAGGCATGTTATAAAGTGCAAAATCTCTGCAAGTGGCAGAGGCTTACCTATTCATTTATTTGTTTATGAAAGAACAGATTCAAGATTCCTTGTTTTTTTTGTTGTTGTTGTTTGTTTTTTGTTTTGTTTTTTTGTTTTTAGACAGGATCTCTCTTTGTTCCCCAGGCTGGAGCGTAGTAGTAGTACGATCGCAGCTCACTGCAGCCTCAACCACCCTGGGCTCTGGTGATCCTCCCATCTCAGCATCCCCAGTAGCTTGAACTGCAGGCGTACACTACCATCCCTGGCTAATTTTTGTCTTTTCTTTAGAGATGGGGTTTTACCATGTTGCCTAAGCTGGTTTTACCCCTGAGCTCAAGGGATCAGCCTAGCCTCCTAAAGTGCTGGGATTACAGGTGTGAGCCACAGCGCCTTACAGACTCCTTGATTTTGAAAGTGAGATAGTCTCCTTTCCTATCTATTTAATTAATTTAATGTAAAAGTCCAGGACTGGTGGAATATTTATGCTCACGGCAGGGATGGGGGGAGGTCCTGATGGGCTTGTCAAGTCATTAGGAGCAGCTGTTATTTAAACTAATTGGTTTTGTGTGGAGAGGTTGAGGTTGGGCTGGGAATGAGGCTGGGTTTGTCTTCCAGGGTGGGCGGGGTTAGCAGCAGGGTTCTCCACACTCGGTGCAGGCATTCTTCTCAAGTGTCAGATCTTCTGTCTACTTGGTCAGCCCTAAGCCTCCATGCCTTGACCCAGAGCTACCCTGCTGTGCAGAATGGGTGCCCGTGAGCATTGGAACAGACCCAGAGCTGTGCCTGTGAACACTGGAGCACCCTCTCTCTTTCTTCCCTTCTTTCTGTTCTCAACCTAGATATCCAAAAGCTATCCTGCTGTCTTTACCTCTTCCTGTGGTCCAGAAGGGAGTTGGAAGCAGGGGAATCAAATAGTCTTCACCAGTTTATGAGCCGAGTTAGCAGAGGAGTGAGTCTAAGACCCTTTCAAGGCCCCCATTAGGGCTGATATGGTGCTGAGTCAACAAAGGGGCAGTATGGGGCATGGTGACTTCCAGTTGCCCCTTTCCGGAAAGATGAAATAATGCAAGGGTGATCCTTCCTCAGACAGTGGGAGGAGAGCTTGTGGTGCACTAGATTCTTGCCCCTCCACCACTACCTAGTGATGCAACCCTGTTCTGGGTGTCAGTTTTCTTATCTGTAAAATGGGAATAACAAAATCTTCCCTGTACCTATATTCCTTACCCAGTTGTCAGAAACAAGTGTGGTTAGCAACTTTAAAATGCACTACAGATCAAAAAGTGCTAAAAATAAAAATAACACTATTATGGAGAGACCATCTGTCTCCCCAGTGTCTACCACAAGGCAAAGTGTAAACAGAATGAAGATTTTCTGGCCTCAGGCCACTAGTCTAGAAGAGCAAATTTTCCATTCTGAGGGATGGAGGAGAAACCAGGGCAAGATGGCACTTCTCTGACAGCCTGCCACCTACCATATCCTCCTCCTCCCCGCTCCCCCAGCATCTCCAACCCTTGAAAAAAGCCTAGGAGTGTGTGTCTGATGCCTTGAGTGGTTGTAGATCTGACACCCAAGCCTGCAGTTCTTCAGATGCTTAGCTGGATAGACGTAGGCAAAGCAATTGCTTTTCCCATCTATAAAATGGGCATGCTAACACCTTCTTTTCTGTTTTAAGTGTTAACTGAGTCAATACATGCAAAGTGAGTGTTCTGTGAATATTAAGCTTTTGTTGATATTATTTCAAAGTAATGGGGTCTCTTTCCTTCCAGCCTGGCTAGAGGGCAGACCCAGGGGCTGCTCAAAGGCAGGGATCCTTGGGGGTGCTGGCTCTTCTACACAGAGCAACTGCCTCTCCTCTGTGGCTTGTGAGATCATCACACTTGGGTCTCAGAAACAGCAAATTGAGGAGAGCCTGGAAGCCCCCAGCCACCTAGGGAAAGCTCGTTCTGTCTTTCTAATTCTCTGTCTTCTCACCCATGCTTTCTGCAACAGGTGAGAGGACGCTGGCTGAAGGCGCAAGCCTGCCCTCCTCAGTGGGCCATGGAGTTCCACTGTGATTTGTGATTCTCCAAGTTTGTGCACTCAGCTTTTTGCCCTTTCCAGCCTTGAACTGCTTCACTCACATGCCCAATAAATGGGGTTGTCCGCTAGGGAGATGGAGAGGGAGTAACGAGTTCAGCCCACCCTCTGTGAGAGTCCAGACAGGCAGCTGCTGGGTAGGAGAAGCAGGGACCTAGAAGGGTTAGGGGAAGGGCCCAGCACATTCTCCTGGGGTCCTGGGGCAGGCAGATTAGCCGGTGAGAGGAAACAGCAGCTCTGTGGAGCCATCCTGGGGGAACTTTCTTACTGGAATATTCCTCTGCCGTAAATGTGGCTGCCTGTGCTTGCAAAGGAGGAGAGAGGGAGGCAGCTCAGAGGAGATCTTCCCTGTTTTCTCCCACTCCCCAAAAGGGATGGCCTGTTTGGAACACTCTGGAGCTCCTTTTCCAGGACATAGTCCTTCTGTCCAGCTAACACGGCCAGTCTTGAGCTCATGAATTATAGCAAAGCTCTCTCTCAGGCCCCTGATTCATGTTCTCAAGCCCTGGTGGACCATCAGAATCTCCTGAAGATTCCTGGGTCTTGATTCTGTAGATCTGTAGTGAGAGCCACATCTGTATTTTCGGGAAGCCCCCTCCACACTCCTCCCTCTCCTGCCCTCAGGTGACTGTGAGGATCAGCTGTGTATGTGACCCCTGATCTCCCTACACCCTGCCTGCCTTGGAACAGATCCTCTCTATGAATGGAATGGAATGAGAGGGGGAGCAGGAGAGGGACCACCCTTCAGTTGGCCCCCTCCCCAACTGCTGAAGAACCCACTGTCTTTTTCTTTTTTCTCCTCTGCCACAGGACCTTGTGCCAACCTGAGTGGTTGGAATTATTTCAGAAAGGCTTTAAAGAAAAATATTTTTCTGGCTGTCTGCAAGAAAAAAAAAATGCACTGCCCCCAGAGCTGGGAATCAGGACCTTCAAGGATTGGAAACCGGGTTGCTTACTTTCCTTTCTTCCCAAAAGCCAAGTAGGTTTGGACCAGTGAGACAGAAATTCAAAGCTGCTGAGAAGACACTGTGCAGGTTGGAAAGCCACTTTTCTCTCCCTCCTACCCAATCAAGCCCTGAATAATGGAGAAACCCTTCCAGCTTCGGCTCTTGCTTATCACCTCCCTATTCGGCCTGAACTTGGGATGCAAGATTTTCTTCTGGCTTTGACATCTCGGCTGGAAGATGTGTTTTATCTTTGCTCTGATGGTTGGGGAGGCATGTGAGAGGCCAGAAGACGAGTTGCAGGGAACGTGTGTGCGTGTGTGCTGATGTCTGGTGACGATATCTGGCTCTGTATGTCAGATGCAGAGGGCAGAGGTGAAGGGACAGGATGTTTTCATTTGTGCCTGTGTGGGGTGGTGGTAGTGAAAGTGCAGCCTGTGCGTGATGTGTGTGACTTTGACAATATGTGACAATACAGAAAAGGTGCAAAGAAATGGGTTCTGGAGTCCAGTTTCTATGGAAACACCTGATATGCAGAATTACTGTTTGCAGCGTGGCTGTCTGTGCTACAACAAACATCTGTAGCAGGAAAGCTTAACTTTTACAGCAAGCAAATATAGGGGCATAGAGTGATGAGAAGAAGAAGAGGCTATAGGAAAGAAATTAGGAAGACTAAAGTTGAATTCATTTGAGAGGAGAAAAAGGTTGGGGGAAGGAAGGAGTGAGAATAGAGACTAGATCAATAAAAGTTGGACAGATCAGGAGGAAACTTACTGGATGAAAGATTCTTCCCAGTCTGTTGCCCATCTCCCGCTGGGCTTACCTGCACACACCTTCCTCTCCGCTCAGCTGTGAGTTTAGTCCGCGTCTTCCGCCCCCTCCCTTCGGCGGAGCTGTGGCAGCAGAGAGCCAGCTAGAAGTTCTGATCTCCCAGTGGTGCGTGCGTGCTTGTGTTTGCCCGACTTTTCTTCCACCAGATCCTATTGGGGTGGGGAGGTTAGCTTAGGGGGAGGGAGGGGCAGATCATAGGGAGGGAGGGGGAGAGAGGAGGGAGGAGTGAGGGAGGGAGGAGAGGAGAGAGGGAGGGAGCTTGGGAAAGGAGGAATGACAATAAAGTCTTTATTTGGCAGCCAAAACTCCCAAAGACTTCATCCACACACCATGCCCACTAACAGACTCATTTTTAATAACATTTCCTTCTGCTGCTGCTGCTTCTGGAGAGGGGTTGTTTGACCCATGTTTGGAAAACAAGCCAAATTAACAGAGGGAAAGGGCATGAAAGCAACCTCTGTGTAAGCCAAGAGTGGATGGCGGGCTCCAGCACTAGCCTGTATAATTCCTAACAATTGCCTTCCCTTCTGGGACTGTTGCTCCTGTGGTGTTAAATTCCTAAACCAGTGAGGGGTTTGGGACGCTTCCTCCGAGCAGTGACAGTCTTTCGCTAAGTTATCTTCTCCAGGAGGTTGCTAAGGAGGTGGAGTCTCAGGCTGGCATGGGAGATAACTTCAGTTTGGCCGCTGGAGAGCTGTTCTGAGAACCAGAGAGGGAGAAGTCTGGCCTGAGTCACGCAGCAAAGTTAAGGCAGAATTAAGATTTGATGTAAGACCTGAAGGCACTATTCCTAGCTCACATGGACAATGCGGTGGCTTCTTTCAGCTTCTCCATAGCACATTTATGTGAGATTTGGGGGCTATATGGTCATCACACAAAGTGATGGGAAATCCAAATCTCTCCTGTGCACATCAGCATCCCAGAAGACCCATTCAAGTAACACTGTTACCTCTGATAACAATCCTCTAACAGTGCTCCTCAGTTACGAAAGCACAACACACTTGCAGATAAGTAGATGTCCCTCAGAACTTCCTGACATGGCCGGATGGGGTGGCTCACACCTGTAATCCTAGTACTTTGGGAGGCAGAGGCAGGTGGATCACCTGAAGTCAGGAGTTCGAGACCAGCCTGGCCAATGTGGTGAAACCCGTCTCTACTAAAAATACCAAAAAATTAGCTGGGCGTGGTGGCGGGTGCCTGTAATTCCAGCTACTAGGGAGGCTGAGGCAGGAGAATCGCTTAAACCCGGGAGGCGGAGGTTGCAGTGAGCTGAGATTGCACCACTGCACTCCAGCCTGGGCGACTGAGTGAGACTCCATCTCAAAAAAAAAAAAAAAAAAAAAAAAAAAAAAAAGGAAAGAAATAAAAGAAGGAAAAATAAAAGCCACACCTTTCTCCAACCCCCTTCCAATCCAAATCTCCAAATCTCCAAATCTCATGGCTTCACATCCTGTCGGTGAGGTCTTGCTGGAAGACAGCACGGCTCCTCTCCAGGTTCACCGTGGCTGTGCCAGGCTGCTCAGGGACTTCATTTCCTCCAGGTTCGCATTAACCGTGGCTGTGCCAGGCTGCTCAGGGACTTCATTTCCTCCAGTTTCGCATTAACCGTGGCTGTGCCAGGCTGCTCAGGAACTTCATTTCTCATCCAGATGGGATATGGCCTATTCTGCAGGCTGGAAACATCAGACCCCAGATTTGCTCATTTCCCTTGGTATGGTGGGTGGTAGATGATAGAGTGCAAAAAAGACTGACTGGGCACGGAGACTCATGTCTGTAATCCCAGCACTATGGGAGGCCAAGGCAGAAGATCAGTTGAGCCCAGGAGTTCGAGAGCAGCCCGTGCCACATAGGGGGACCCCATCTGTACAAATAATTTAAAAATTAGCTGGGCATGGTAGTATGCACCTGTGATACCCCCTACTTAGGAGACTGAGGTGGGAGGATCACTTGAGGCCAGGAGACCAAGGCTTCAGTGAGCTGTGATTACGCCATTGTAGTCCAGCCTGGGTCACAGAGCGAGACCCTATCTCAAAAAATAATAAGGTGAGCAAAGTACAGTGAGGTACAGGGAGGACTGGGTAGAGTGCCGGGGGGATGGACAGATCGTGAGGAGTGTGGAGTGTGGGTGTCACCTGTATCTGTTTGTATGAGATCCAGATCCCAAGTCTATGCTCTTGGGAATGGATGGCCAACTTCCAAGCCCTACCCAACCAGTTATCTCCCTTCGGCCCTCTCCTGTCTCCCTCACCCCACGCTATGAGAGAGAACTGGAAGGAAGCATAGACATGGCCAGCAGCATGTTCAGGACTGTTTAGACTTTGCTAAACAGCGGCCTGTGGATCTAATATGACAAGTACCTTCATATTTTTTTTTGACAGCACATTAATACTTTTGAAGTTTTGTGGAAATGTTAAAAGCATATACATATTTACACAGGATAGTATTAATATCCCCATTACCTAATACCTAGCTTCAACAACTACCGACTCACGGCCAATCTTGTTTCTTCTGTGTTCTCCACTCCCACAAACCCTATTGGTATATTTTGAAGCATTGGTTTAAAAAAAAAAAATGGATTTGAACGCCTTTAGATTGGACAAGCACTTCCCAGTTCAACACAGGCGCCATCCTGGGAGACAGAGGGCCAGGTTCTTGAGACTGGCTTTGCCCTGCTGCATGCTGTGTGACCTTGAAGATGTCCCTCTCCCTCTCTGACCTCAGTTTACCATTTGTGAAACGTGAGGTTGTACCAAATGGCCTCTCAGTGCTCTTCCGACAATACTGTGAAGGTTTGGGGTCAGGAAACCTGGATGAAGATGTCAACTCTGCTGTTCTCTGGCTACCTGGTGAGCAGGTCTCAGAACCTGAGCCTTGGTTTTCTCACCTGTACTTGGAAGGTAATAACCCTGCCCCATCTCCCTCCCAGGGAGGGAGAATCATTGGAAGCAATGGCAGCGGGTGTTTTGTGATTCACTGGCTTCATGCACCCTGGGGCTACGTGGATCCTCTAGGAAGAGCCTCCTCTACTCTAGAGCCTCGGGGACACCAGTGGTGTGGCTTCAACCCAGAGGAGGTATTTATCTCTTGCTGTGTGACTAGAGGACAGTCACAGGCACAGGATGAGAATGCTGGGGCTTGTAGTGAGAAGTCCAGATATGCCCGTTGCTGCTGCTGCTGCTGCCTGGTGCTAGGAGAGGGCTAGGGGCAGCATGGTCAGGAGGCAGAACGCAGGGAAGGCCAGGCAGTAGACGGAGGGGTCTCCAGGGTGGTGGGTTTTAGCTGCATTTGCAGAGTCAGGACCTGCTAACATTTCCCATCCAGACTGAAATCCATCTGGGGGCTCGCCATTTCTTTGACCTTCACAGTTATTGCTGCCTTGGTTACAAGCAGTGAGAGCTTAAAGCAAGAGAAGAAAGGACAGGATTGTGTAATACTCTTTCCATAGAAGTACAGGAGGGTGGTACTCAAGCTTCCCACCTCCCCCCAGGGCCAGTCCTGAGACTGCTGGGAAGGAACAGTGTGGGTCTGAAGAGTGTGGCTCAAACTGCCCAGTGGTCACCAGGACCCACAGAGGCTGGCCCTGGATAGACCCTCACCCTGGTTGAGGTTCCCAGTCCAGGGTGGCTGGGGTGTGGGCAAATGTGTGACAGGGGAGAAGCTGTGGGAGCCCTGTGGCAGCCCGTCCCACCCTCCAGCCTGGGGGGCCTGGGTTGCCTGGGGTGAGTGGGCCCCTGGCGGGCAGAGACAGCATCCTGTTCATCATGGTATAACCCACAGCACCCACCAACGGCTTGGCACACCCTGGGTGCTCAGTAGGGGTCTGTTTCATTGAATCTAAGAGGGTTGAACAAGGAGCTTCTCTGTCACTCTGTTTTTTTAAAAAAGGTTATTATTTTTTGAATGGGTAATACATTCTCTTGATTGAAAATCTAAAAGGTATAAGAGGTTGCACAGGGAAAAAGTCTTTTCCTTTGCCTGTCTCCTCATCACTCAGTTTCCCTCGGAAGACTGTGTGCCCATTTCTTATGTCCTCACGGATCTGTTTAATGCACATACAAGTAACAAATCAGCAGCTATGCACTTTTATTTTCACTTAGTGGTACAGGTATATTTTGAAGATGATCATATTGGCGCTTACGGTACATTCTCTCTTCTCTCTTTCTCTGCCCCCAGCTCCCACTATTTATGTATTTGAGCAGACTCTTTTGGTGGACATTTGGACTTCTCATTTTTTTTTTTTTGAGACAGAGTCTCACTCTCATCGCCTGGCCTGGAAAGCAGCGGTGCAATCTCGGCTCACTCCACCTCCCAAGTTCAAGTGATTCTCCTGTCTTAGCCTCCCGAGTAGCTGGGATTACAGGCGCCTGCCATTATACCGGCTAATTTTTGTATTTTTGGTAGAGACAGGGTTTCACCATGTTGGCCAGGCTGGTCTTGATCTCGAACTCCTGACCTCAGGTGAGCCTCCTGCTTTGGCCTGGGCTCCTCATGTTTAAGGTAGGCAGTGCTGGACTTGGAGTCTCACGAACGTGGTTGCAGGCCTGGCTCCGCCTCCTCTGCATGCTCGCGAGGTGGCCTCGGCCTATCCACACGCCATCCCTGAGTCTCAGTTCTCTCCTTGTACATGTCAGGTATTTGCCGCAGTCCATCAGCTCAGCAGGACAGAAATACACCTTTATCCTATCATTTCACTTCCCCGATTTCCGGATATGAGTGCTCAGTTCACCAGGATGGTGGAACTCTCCATCTCAGTCTTTCTTGGTGCCCGTAGGGGGCCACCCAGCAGCTTGAGGCAGGTTTATGCAGTGCCAGCCCCTTGTGGGATGGAGAGTGTCTGTGGGGAGAGCACGCACATGGCTCCTGGTTGGTACCGACGTGGGGCACACCCTCCATCCCACAAGGCCCCTCTGAGTGAGCAGCCCTCTGACACTTCCTGGGCTGCATGTAGGGGACAGGAACTTTCTGCAGGGCTATTTCCTCTCTGGAAACATGCTGGCTGCCTGGCACTCAGCCAGGGGCAGGCTCACTGATTTCCTCTCTCAGGCTTCTCCCCCAGCTCAACCCCCCACCTTTTTTTTTTTTTTTTGAGACGGAGTTTCGCTCTTGTTACCAAGGCTGGAGTGCAATGGCGCGATCTCGGCTCACCGCAACCTCCGCCTCCTGGGTTCA